CAATGTTTTTTATGATGATTACAATTTAAATTAGTTTTTCTATCACAGTACTTTTCAGCTAACACAGATAGTTTAGGACAATTTCCATCATGAAGCTCTAGTACATTACAGTTATCACACATGTCTTTTATCCATTTCACTTTTTCTGAACCTTTTACATAGATAATCTTGTTTTCTAGGTATGGTACGATCATGCGTTGGAATTCTCTATAGTCAATATAGCCTTCGCTCCAACGTAGACCCCTATTTTTTTCCAACCACTCGACTTGTCTCTTTTCATCTCTTGTTAAGTATGTGAACTGGTACGGTGGTTTAATCAAAAACGTTTGTGTATATTCACTCGTGGTAAAAGCTAACTCCTTTACTATAAAATTATTGTAGAGATCCTTAAATCCTTGTACATCTAATATCATAGTATTGGGATTCATGATATTTTCCTTACAATATTACTCAAAGGTTTATACTCAATTATACAATCGTTTAATATAAGACAGTATGCACAGGTTTGATCTGGTATGTCCAATTCACTCTCAATTTCCACTCTCACATCAACCACAGGTCCAGTTTTGAGGTTGTCTGTTTGTCTAGAACAATCAATCACAAATAACGGCGCTAGGTCCTTAAATTGTTTCTCACTTAGTAAGGGTTCCGAGCGCCTGCCATAATACGACTGTTGAAATCGTGTGTATTGCTCGTATATTAGTGCAATTTTGTTATTTGCAAAACTAGCGTTTAGATTTTCATACGGAAAGTAAGTTGAATTGAGATACACTTTAACATCGCGAATATAACAGTGATCAAACTGTGACATGTCAGCACTTGCATTGTTTTTTCTATTTGTTTGTAAACCAATAATTATATATCTTGGTTTTTCTATTTGCGATGAAGTTTTAATAGACCATGTATGTTTTGTAGTTTTAGGTAATGCTGGATATTCGTATAGATCCCAATTCCTGAATATCATTTGAAGCGGACGATCTTTTTCTAACAGTTTTAATAAATTTATCTTTTCTTTGTCAGATACTTTAACGTGTGGTACTCGCCATATAATTTTATTGATTTGGACATCATCTATAATCTCCCCGGTGTTGAGTTTTACAGCATTTAGGTTTGTGTTACTTCGCAACAATATTAGTTCGTGTTTACTGTTTATCACAACTTTCTTAAAATCTTCAGCAAAACCCATGATATTACATAGAGGTATCGATGCGGAAAAGTTACCTCCATTTATATTCTTTGTACCTTCAATGTTCCAGCCCCAAGCATTGGATATTTTTGATTCACTCTCATTCATCGAAATTAATGACTTCATGGTAGTAGTAATGCCAGCATTTTTTATTTTATCAATCTCTACTCCATTCAACTCGTACCTTATATCTTGAAATAAGTAAAGGAGAGCATTATTCGTAAATTGAACGCTAGAAGTCTTGTCTTTTGAGTCCTTTTTGCTAACAATTACAGTTCCTTCCAAATACAGAGTGCTAGCAGATGGTAGTACATATAGATCCTGTTGGTTGATGGGTATGCGAATTTCATCGTTTCTATTAAAACTTGTCACGTAGGGTTTGTAGGAGTGAAATTCGATTCCTTCAACTGTGTTGTCGTAAGTCGGAGCGGATAATACGTCTAAAATATTCATTTTAACAAACCGATAGCTTTCAGGAATGCCTTATTATTATCGGTTAATTTAATTTTTTTATTTGAGCTAGCTCTTATTTTCTTGGTTGCTAAATTGGCACTGATATTTTTGAACTGAGGTTGCTCATATTTATTGTAGTCAATCATTTTTTCGTCTAAGATGTAAATATAGTTGTACTTCTTCACCACGTAAATTTATTAGACGATTGTTAATATCTAACAGTCTGATATGTATACAGCTTATGTTGTTTTGATTGATTGGAAAGTATATTGCGTTCTTTGGAATTTCTATGATCCTATATCCAGGTGGCACATTGAGTGCAAATTCATGAATAATGTGACTCGGTTCTCCGTTTATGTAGGATCCGCTTATGATATCACATTCAACCCTGACCACGGTCGTAGGTAAAATGTTGACGGGAAACTGTGACACATGCCATTTATTACCTTTTAATATCTGCTTATCAAAACCAAGCAAATGTCTAAAGGTATTTTCTTTTTCAAAATTGATGTCTTTCGTACAGTGTATAGTAGTTTTTAAAGTATTGTTATTGCAATGTAGTTTAATTGATGCACCTTTTATCTCAGATTTTAAATAATCACTAATATCTTGCAATTCATAGGTTCCCTCCGGTATTTCAATGATTTCGGAACCACAGTAAAACTTGTTATTCGTAACATCAATGTTTGGAATAGAATTAAATGTTGAGAAATGCAATAATGCACACTCATACTGTCCATTTAGTTGTAACGTATTAGGATAGTACGTAGACAAGGTGGACGAGTTTCCGGTTATCGATAAAGTGAGTGACATCTTGTAAATGATTGAAATGAAAGAAACACATTAATTTTATACGTCTTTATTCCAAAATTCCCATAGATATTCTAAACATAAGTGACCACAATTTACTGTGTTAAACTTTTGATATCTTGTATAGTTGTAATAAACAGCACAATTTTTAAAATATCGCATTAATTCGTTTGGAGGTTTCAAGTCACCATAACTATCAAAGTATTCACAATAGTCGGCTACTTTAACATAAGCTACCCAATGCGTTCCTTCATTTTTAGAGTCATCCAAGTTAACAATACCACATTCAATCTGTTTTGGTTTTTTTGGTAATTGGTCCTTCATGAATACTCCTCGAAAGTGTGGGATGTCTCGTGCATGTTCTTGGATGTCGATATTAGTCAGTGGGCGATTAGGTAGCTTCTTTATCAGTTTTTTTGATGTTCTATGAATAATCCTTTACCATTTTTATGCGGTTTAATGTATAAACCCTTACCCAATGCTAAAGCCTCCATAGTCTTATTATGACGTTCTGTTTCTCGCAAATTTTGTTGAGCTGCTTTGTAATCATTAACGGTTTTAGCAATACCCGCTGCACCACCAGCCAGAGTGCCAAAGCTGATAAGCCAGCAAAGATTGGAATTAAAGGCAAAATACCTCCAGTTTTCGGTATGGGTATGATGCGAGGTACTCGAATTTTCTGAATTTTTGGATATATCTTTTTTGCTGCTAAGTAAGCAGCATTAATTAAAGCTTTACTATCTTTGTGTTTAATTTTCTTAATTTTTGATTTAATTTTTGATATAAAACTGTGAAACGTTTTAACTCCGGCACCTGACTTTAGTTTGGCTTTCATGACTTTGCTTACTAGCCATGAACTAAGTTTTTCACCTTTCCCAGCATCCTTTGATTTAAGTCTTTGTTTTGCCATATTCATTAGTTGTAAATCAGCTTTATGACGATGAGATAAGTCTGTGTGGTTAGCGTATGCAATGTCGTGGTGCATACAAGCTTCATCCAACTTATTAATACCTCGATCACCGCGTAATAACCGTTTCTGGAGTTTTGTTCCTGGTCCGCAATAATTATAACCAGGCAAATGAAGCTCGAATGGTAAATTTTCTATTAAACTATTAACTAGTCCACCACCTTGCATTGTACAAAGCGCAATGGATGAATGTTCAAAAAGAATTGATTATATACTTAATAACTCAATCCAATAAGGCAGCTTTGTCAATCCAACTATTTTCGTTATTGCTAAGACCCAACCATTTCACGTAAAGTTTTCTTCCTTTCTTTTTTAAAATTTTCTCTATCAAATAAACACCAGGATAGTTAGATTTTTGAAGTTCTTGTTCATAAAAGGTTCCTAATATAGCTTGTTTACGTTGATCTTGTATATGATATGTCACCGGTATTGTATTATTAATCTTTTTTACAGTAAAAAGTTCTGTTGACCAATTAGGAGTATAACCTTTCTCAAAATTGTGTTTGTATTTGCTGATACGAACATAATCACCAATTTTAAACTTAGGTTTACATGGAGCAGATACATGTTTATGTGCTTTTAAAATATTTTCTTTTATTACTCGCTCATTAGACTTGTTTACATCGATTGGTTTTAATTTAATAGTTCGATGTTTTGTGTTGTTATACGATTCCAGGGTAAGTTCTAATGGTTTACCCAACCACTTATAGTTTCCATTAAAGCTAAAATATTTGTACAATTTATTTTTTATAGTTTTAATTAGTCGCTCAACAATTGATGCCTTTTTGCTAGAAAACGAAGAGTAATGGTTAATCTTATATGTTTTCATAAGCGTTTGAAATGTGTTATTATAAAACTCTGTTCCCATATCAGTTTGTAAGTTATCAGGCTTTCGATGACTCTTAAGTAATATTCGTTCAAATGCATGAGTCACATCAAGTTTATTTTTTGATTTCAACGGCTGCGTCCAAGCATATTTTGAGAAGCAATCGATTACAATTAAAATGTAATTATAGCCTCCGTTATATTTCTTTAGATTTTGCATGTCCATCAGATCAGCTTGCCACAGATCGTCGATACTTTTTAAAACAACAGAACGCCGAAGGAAATTTCTTCGTGCAGTTTTGTGTATTTCATTTACAATTTGCTGTTTTGACATGGTTTACAGTTTTTTAAGCAATTTGTCAACATCTACTTTGGTATAAAACTTATCTTCCAAATGAATTAAAGCCTCAGATGTCTTAGCTTTTAAAGTAGCTTGAACTGTCTTTTGTGCATCTAGCATGAGCTGAGAACGTAATGCACCAATTAGTTTATTCAATTCATGTATCGTATTAGCATTTAAACGATCTACGTAATCTTTGTTTACGGCGTCGTCTCCATCCACAGGAGATCGGATCCCCTTGAGTCTTGTTGATTTCAAATCAAAATCCCCGCTTTCTGATTTTAACAACGCGTTATCATTAAATTCAAATAAATCTGATAAACGCAATCTTTTGTGAATAAAATGACCAAATTTATCTACATTCATCTTTAAAGGTGTATTGTTTTGAAAGGTCGACAGTAAAATGAAACACAGATGTTTTATGTATTTATTATATTACTTTCACGTAATTCCTCTATTATGGATATGATTTCGTTGTTTACCCCTGTGTTACCAGCATCTTGAGATGCAATTAACAATTTTAGTCGATCAACTAATTCATTAGGATCATCCCAATATATAAAATCTACATTCTTCTTCCACATTTTTGTTAAGGGTAATCCTTTCCCTTTGGATTGTAAAAATAGCGGTTTAATAATTTGTAAATATTTTTGACCTTTATTACTTTTTATCGGTTTACTTGGATCATAATCTCGACGATGTGCATTTGTATCAAGTAGCATTGATTTATAATGTTGCATATCACTCTCTGTAACCAAACTCAAATCTGCATTCTTTTTCAGTAGCAACTGTTTCAATCCAGGCGTACATCGATACTTGCGGTGTGCCACTATGATATATTCGTCATTGACAATTATGTGAGCGGCACCCAACATCAACTTCCCACGCTCGTATCTGACACCAAATGGAATATCTGCTAACGCTTCTGGAGAAACTGACCAGGATGTTGTGTTACAATCTTGTTTCTTTTCAACCAGTGATTTATATGAGGAGTCACTGTCAACCTCAGAGTCATAATCGTCTGTATCATTGCTTTCTTTCTCACTGAGAACTTCTTTCCTCAAAGTATTATCAATATATGGAACTTCGATGTCTTCATCTTCAATATTTTGTGGAGCAGATTGTTTGGTGACATTGGCAATTAAATTTAAGGGATCTGTTACAGGCTTGAAAACTGATTCCAGCGCTTCTTTATTGTTTATTTCAATATCCTTCATTTTACGTACTTTTTTCTTCACGGCTTCTGTCGCTTCAACAATTTGTCTTTTTAAAGATTTTTCCATATTGTTTAAATAGATCGTGATTGATTAAGTATTCCAAGTAGAATAATTAGAAACACTAAGGTAACGGATTTAAATAGCAATTTAATCAAAAACTACAAAGGTGTCAAATTTATTTCTATAACAGCCTTTATTTTTAGAGCAATCTTTATTAATGACAACAAAATTAAAGGGATCGTTCCATATTTTTGAACACATTTCACGAAATTCAACCCATGACATATCAGTGTTGACATGTTCTTCGTATATGTGCTTCAAATTAATTTCATCTTGTTTAAAAAGTATGATCAAATTGGCATTGTCTCTTATTAATTGTTTAGGAATTTTGCTATACGTTTGATTTAAATAAAAACAATCGATAAATTTATGTCTTCCCATTGCAAAGTAATCACGCATGTTGTTTTGATTTTCACAAGCAACATCATCAAATATAATCACAGAGTCAGGTTTTGCGTCCTGAACTCTTAGTATTTCTTCGTGTTCCTGATATTTTTGAAACGAAATACCTGGTACGCGTCGTAATACTTTTTCTAAAAATATGTACTTGGGTTGGTATAAGGTTTTTGAATAAATATAAACATTTCGAAATCTTAAACCATTTTCGTGTATAAGTAGACTAATGAGTAAATTTGTTTTTCCACAATTTGACGGTCCGCAAATTATACAGCGTACTGAATTAGGTAATAATTTACTGTGACGGAAATCAGTTTTACAAAATTCATCACATATTATGTTAATATTCAACGATTGTGGTTGTTTTACAAATTTCATGCTTACTGTGTGAAACAGTTCGAATAACAATGACAAATATTTTTTGTATGTTAATATTTATAAACCGTACGACTATGTATTTTGCGTTACTAGCATTAACCGAATCGATCGTTGACGATTGGGCATTCTGGACCATATCGATTATTGGGCGTTCTATACCACTATCGGCAGCGAGGCGCACTCGCCGAGCGACTTGCCGATAGTGGTATAGAATGCCCAATAATATACTACTCTGTTCTTTGCTGACGATAGTAATTTCAGAAAAATAAATATAAAACGCAGCTTTAGGTTAAGTAGCCAATTTTGTTTACCGTTTCTAGTAGTGTAGGTAGTTAAAAGTTAAGTTTAAAGGTAAAGGTGAGATTCGATGTCTAGTTTTATAACAGATGGCCTAGTAACAAACACAGAATTTGCCAAAGGCCAAGAGTAAAAAGAAAAATCACAACTTTTCTAACTCGGTGCCGAAAATAAAGCTGTAGGTAGTTAAAACACAAATTTTCAATCAAAATAACCGTAAACTCTATTTACTTACAGACATCACTAAAACCATTTAACTCACAAAAACCCGCCTTAAACTACAAGAAATAAAGCTGTCAATTCAAAACAGTTTCCAATGTTGCCAACTACAAACAATTATTTAATAAGCGGCCATATTTGCGCGTCCACCTTTGTGCGTTTGCGCCGTTTTTGTCGCTCCTTGACCCTTTATTGATTAAGCTATTTGGCGGACCGCGAAATTTTAATAGCCCCACTCTTTTTAAATGCTTATGTGTTGATGCGACTTTTAGCTTTAATTTAATGACTTTAAGCTGTAGGCGCTTTTTAATTGGAGAGCCTCTTTATTTATCTTATGATTACTGCGTAAGCGATGGAAATTGAGGGCTTAATTCGTTTGTTAATTACTTGGTATTTTATGAATAGGAAAATAAATCGATACATGTGTTGTTCTTGCTTGTGCCAATTTGGATAGGTGTCCGTTTTAAGTAAGGACTTCTTATGAACGGTTATTTCTTGAAAGCAAATTTTAAGTTACAGAATTATTAAACAGGTATGTAGCCCTGGTATAATACCTAGTATCTATGTACAATTATAATCTTTATTAATTCTATACATAATAAACATGTGCAATATCAGAACTGGATTTTAATCCTCACCCGGGGCTCCGGTTCGAAGAGCAGAAGTAGGAACGGCAGTAAGAGTCTGACATGGATCTCGCTTCATCTAAGGCGGGAGAAATAATGTGATTATTTTCCTCTGTTAAAAAATCCTCACTTTCAACAAATGTACACACAAAACTATCCAAACAAAAACTCTACACAGAAAAATTCACTACGTATAAAACATATGGAACTAAATTGGTAAGCTCAAATCAATCGTTTTATTACTAGTTTCCAACTAAGTTTTATTAAAGTTGTGGCGCCAATAATTGTTACGATGCTTAATAACTTAGCCGTGGCAATCCGTGGTAAACGTATGATTAAATTGAACTATTCAAGCGTGAATAACTGAGCGGGGTACATGGTACATTCGTGAATAACAGGGAACAACTAGTCAACTGTGAAAGGCACATCATGTTAATGATTCATTTTTGTATTAATCAACGAGGTAATGCTTTTTGTTGGGAAATGTTTTAAGTATGTTGTTGTCGACTTTTTTTGGTGTTGATTTAATTATGTGTTTGGTTTGTTTGATTGTTTAGTTTTTAGTTAATTGGGGATAGTAAAGGGTTGTAATTTTTATGAGGAATTAATAGAATTCTGCTGAATTAATAGGTTTTTTTATAAAGTAGGTAGGTATCTAGTGCTTGCATTTATAAACACTATAAAACAATAATTAAGTAAATACTTATACATTACAATACAATACAACTATATGGTTTATATCTACAAGTCCGCTACAGAAGTGAATTCCATCTCAGAACGAACCAAAGAAATCAGAAAACGAGATTGTGAGAAACATCAAAACGAACATTTCATTAAGAATCCCATCTGGGAATCTATATAAATCAAATTAACTCATTTAATTGTGTAACAAACATCTTTTACGACGTTATACTGGGAAGGGACCATATACGAGAACCACAAAAGTCACATGATAATGACAAAATTGTAAACAGATTTGTAACAATCATAGGAACCATAAAAGCCAATCAACGGGATTGCCTCACAATGGACACAAAGACGTTTTTATTACCTAATTACCATGATTTGTTTTCTCTAATGAGTACCCTATGTTTCATCGCACTATTACCTATAAAACCAAACCTATTTGCCACCAAATCTACGATAAATCTAAGATTCTTAACTCTATTTCCTAAGTCGTAAGGTCTTGTTAACTTTTGTATAGCTGTACAAATAAAATTGTAAATGTTTTACGTTATTACGACTCCCTAATTGGAACGGATGCCATGTTATAAATGTCATATTTAATATTACTAATTGTTATTGTTATTTTAGTGATGTATAAAAATGTTATTGTTTTGCTAAGTATATGTATTGTATAAGGAGTTAATTTTAAACTGCCTTTTATACTTGAACGTTTAAATGTTGTAATTGGGAGATAATTGTTCGCTTTGCATAATAGTTTTTAGTGGGGCTCGAGTTTATTTGATTGTAAAAGTTATAGTCTTCGTTTATTGTTCATGGTAACGACAAATGTTATGGTTACATGTAGTTATCTCTTGGATATGTATTACATACGTTTGATGAACTGATATTTAACTTATTCTAGCAAACCCGGCGAACTGCGTTTCGCCACCAGATGCTTCGTTTTATGTAACATTTCGTTTGGTGATTAAAAGATGAAGAAACATTTTTTTTTGTAAACCTCACGGAGCTCGAGACCTTCCCAACGAATTCAAAACTGTGGAAATCGGTTCGTGCGTTCTGGAATTATAGCGTCAGGAAGGAAAACCCGACTTATTTTTATATAGTAGATGTCTGAGGGTAGTTAGTAGTTACAGCATATATCTACGTATGTATGTATGGCAACACATATCTCGTGTCAAATGACAGCTCATGCACATAGACCAACGACGGAAAACAAGTGAACGGATGACGTCATAAAATAATACATCGCACATGTAAAGTTTACATGCGAATTAACATGGATAGAAAATCCCAACAAATAACTGTTGGGCAGAAAGCCACAAACACCTCGCCTGGTCCGAGGATACTCTTTTTCCGATCTTAGAGTACTGTACTCTCAGTTCCCTAAACCTATATGTAAGAATTCCCTTTGTTATAATAGTCTTATTATTTCGTAGTGAAGATTCCGTGTTTCGAACTCACTAGAAGATATCACAGTATATATAATAGGTACAGTATACACAATAACACAGTATACATAGTATATAGAAAACTGGCAAAGTAAGTAATTCTTTGGTAACTATTATGAGGTACCTAACTGTCTATGGGCCGCGCTGAACACTTGTCACAGGTGACCCATCAAATTAAAAAACCTTCAACCTAAAATTGCATCCAAAAGTGCGATACAATGTATGTCAACTACTGTACTTTTTTAACAACATAACATAACATCACGCCTTTTATCCCCGGAGGGGTAGGCAGAGGTGCACATTCATCATCATTATCAACAGCCTATAAATGCCCACTGCTGAGCAAAGCCTCTTCTCACACGGAAAAGGTTAGAGCATTAATCACCACGCTTGCTCAATGCGGGTTGGCGATTTCAAACGGCACTTAATGCTACTGTACAATGTAACACTCACTTTTCACTATTCATGTTATGAGTCCCAAGTAATAGGGAGTGAGCCTAATGCCATATACCGGGTTGTTCCAGACTGCGTGCTACTACTGGATTTTTTGAAAATCTCAGTTATACTTTGCCCGACCCGGGAATCGAACCCGAGACCTCTTGCGCCGGGCAAGAGATCTTGTCGTACTTGCGACCACTCGGCCAACGAGGCAGTCAGACAGTGTACTTTTTTAATTCAAAACTTAATATGACAATACAAGAATGCATTCTACTTTTCCTATAAGACATCATAAAACTAAATGCTTAACATAGATACCCCACAGTACATATCGCCACGGGGCTAACACCGACCCATGAATCATGGCGTATAATTGGGTGCGTATGATATTGCATTCTGATTCAATTGTCAAGCGTAGGGCGGGCGGGACTGCCCTCCGCCCATCACGCCCATAGCCGACGGCAATGGAGCTAAGTACAGTCGGTGATAAAATTAAATGGTTTCTAAGTCGAGTTTA